TGCAAAGACCTTTTATGAAATTGCATTTTAACAGTATAGCACTATGAGGCTTCTCTTTTTTTTTTTTCGTATCTGATACATATCTTTGATGGAGCATATTGGTAGAGGCTGAGGCATATATTCCTGTGGTGGGAACACTGCTGCTGAATCTTGCTGATGGGATTACAGTGCTGTTTTGAGGTAAGATGGTGACAGCGTTGGCTCCCCACTGGTAGACAAAGAGCAAGTGATCTCTGTTTTCTGAGATCAAGCCTGTCTGGTAAGAGGCCTCACTGTTTGAAAAGCACCTTTAGCACTGGAGCACTTTTTTGTATGAGCACTTTCAAAAGCACTTAGACGGACTTTAGGCAATTGCCAATTAATTTTTATTCATCATTTAAAAGTTTATGAATTGATGTTTTGTCAATTTGTATTCTCACACCATTAAACTAAGGTTGCTATTTTGCACATCATTTTGACTTTGCACAGGGTATGAAATTTCTTTTATTGCCTATTTTTTGTTATGGAAATGTGACTTTATTGTATTTGTGAATCTGAGAACATTTAAGGAGACCGTGCACTTTTTTCTTTTATATTAATTTCTTAGATCCAGTATTCAGGATTTCTAAGGTGCAGCAGTCCCGAGTTAACCGGTTCCCAACCGCGCTATAGCTGTAGGACGGCTACGGTTTGGTTGTGTGATCCTGGGATGACGTCCATGGATGTCATTGCAGAACACAGCCAGTGATCGCTGTGTCCTACGGAATGTGAGGGTGCTTTTTTTTTTTTTTAATTATTTTGACTTTTTTCAATTATTTTTATGCTTATCACTTTTAATGCTATCACAGGGAATGCAAATATCCCCTATAACATCAATAGGCATTGTCATATATTCTATTTTGAGAAATCTGGGGTCTATCAGACTCTAGATATCTACCCTGCCCTTACATTATCTAATCTCACAAAGATCGGTGTGATCAGATGCTTTCCCAATTTACAAATGGCGCTGTTTAAATCCTGCAAAAGTGAAGTGATGAAATGCTCACAGCTTTCGATTTCTTAAAGTATAGAGATGATTGGCACCATTCCGGTATCCAATCAGCTCTATGGTCAGCTGGCAGGAACACCGGCTGCATTCTCAGGTTCCCCCGATGGCACGGGACTGCCCGAGAAGGCCATGGAAGGCAGCGGGGGAGGGGGGGCATTGTCTCCCACTGCTTGTAAAAGCAATCCTGCAGCTAATTAACCACTAGGATTGCTTTCACATGAAAGCCAATTGCTGGCTGAAAAAAAAACGATACCAGGATAATGCCTGCAGCTGTAGGCTTCATCCTGGTATAACCAAAGTCCAGTGATGTACCAGTATGTCGCTGGTCCTTGTTGGTCCTTGTTGGGTATATATGCTATGATTTTTTGGGGGGTTTTTTGTATGCAGCCTCTGGGCTTAATTAAAAAAAAAAAAAAGGGAAGAAATCTCTGCCAGAAAAAGTGTGTGGTATGCCCACCATTAGAATATACCGCCCTGCATCCACCCACTTCTAATGGTGGGCACACATTAGGTCGGACAGTGCCACATGTGCCAATTCCAAGATTGCCCTTTCACAGGTCTTATACATCTTGACCCCATATCTGGCACGCTTGCTGGGGAGAAAGTGTTTGAATGCAAAGGCAGCCAGAAAAATCTTTGCTACGGAGTATAGACATCTGCAAATTATTGGTTAAGGCGATTTACGAGGGGCCGAATTTGTGGAACCGGTCAAATTCAGGGTCACCCCGAGGACAACAGACTGTATTGTCGTTGCAATGCATAAAACACATTAATACTCTCATATCTACAGCATGCCTGGCCATGGGCATATGATGAATCGGGTCTGTGGACCAATACAACCGCAATTCAGTTTTTTTTAGTAATGTCCATGTTGAGGGTTAGGCCCAAAAAAATATTTAAATTTGGAAACTGTAATGGGTTTCCATGAGAATGACCTGGCAAGGTTTGAATTTGGGTTGGTGGCGATAAATTGTTGTGCATATAAATTGCTTTGATCCACAATCAATGCATACAAATCTTCTGTGAAAAACAGCTCCAAAAAATCAAGGGGAACAGTTAAATTTGCTGTGTCCACCTGAATTCCAGGTTGGGCAGTGAACGGGGGAAGTACGGGTGCTGATTCTGCAAACAGTGCGATTCTGTGTGCAATGTATCAAGTGACAGTGACCTACTGACACTGCACTTGCTGGTGGAGAAGGGGGGTAAAAGTAGGGTCTAAACACAGGTACTGGCAGGTGCTGGGGCTGATCCCGCTAACCCTGCATTTTTGGGGACACTATACTAATGTGAGCGCTTGTATAGTGCTGATCTGATCAAAGATATTGATCTGTTCAGACACTATACTAGCAATGAAGGTTTATTGTGTATGAGCGTGCTCCTGGCAATCAAGGGGTTAAATGTGATGACTGGTGTACTGACAGGCAATCTGACGCTATCTGGGAGGGGCGTGAAAACCACGGGAGTGCGAGTCACGTATATATACACATGTGATTTTGCGCACCCGTGCCACCCTGTAGCAGTATTTTTGCTATAGGGCGGTCAAGAAGCAGTTGCAGAAGCAGTTTGCGTTACGACGCTGCGTTACTTTAAACTGACAATTAGGCGGTCATGCAACGCTGCACCCAAATGAAATTTACATCCTTTTTTTTTCACACACAAATTGAGCTTTATTTTGGTGGTATTTGATCGCCTGTGAGGTTTTTATTTTTTGCACTATAAGAAAAAAAAAAAAAAAAAAAGGCCGACAATTTTGAGAAAAAAACTAAATTTTTTTTGCTATAAAATATGTCCAGTAAAAAAAAAAAAAAAAAAAAAAAATTTAAAAATCAAATTTCGGCATAAATTTAGGCCAAAATGTATTCTGCGACATGTCTTTGCTAAAAAATACAATACAGTGATCAGTGCAAAAAAAAAAAAAAAAAAAGCACGGACACTGTACTAATGGGACTGGGGAGGAAGGGGTTGACATTTTGAGGCAATCAAAAGGTTAACTGTGTGATGGGAGTGTTTTACTAGGGCTCGGGGTGTACTTGACTGTAAGCACACAGATTGGGATGGCTGTGCTCAGCCATTCCGATCGGTGTGCCCAAACTGACAGGGAGGAGGGCTTCATTGTAAACAATGCAGCCCTCCTCCCTGTCGTTTGCTGGAAATCGCCGGGCGTTGGCGTGTAATCACCGGCTGGGGGTCCCAGAGCCGCGATCGGCAGTGTGGTCGCACGCCCCCTACCTGGAAATGCAAAATCACGTATATATACACACGCTCTGCCGCAGTAAATGTACTGTGGGCGGGCATTAAACAGTTAAGTACAGTGTGTGTATTTTTTTTTTCTTTAAATTATAAAGCTAAACACCTTCTTTACCTAGGGCTGCTGTGTGGTCACATGTCTTCCCTCTGCTAGCTTGCATACGTCAGAAGGGAAACTCAGCCCCTCTCGCTACACTCTAGATCAAGAAGGAGAGCAGTGGGAGGACACGTAACCACTCAGCAGAGATGAAACAAAGAAGGTGAAAGGATTAAATGGAATATAACTGAATCCATTTTGTATACACTAATACAAGATGCTAGTTTAATATACATATATGAGATATGTGCACACTAACAAAACTGTCTATGTCAGCTTCATGTAGAAATGAGTGTTTTTGCAAACCCTTACAAAAAAGCAGATAAGGTTTACTCTCACTTCTGAAAAGTTTTAACCACAAATTGGGTGTTAGGTCAGATTAAAGCCATGGTCTGGGCTTTAGAGGAGATATGGTATGATAGATAAAGCAGAAGAGTGAAAATGCAAACCTCATACAAATAATTGTTGAGTTAAGGTAAAACAATGTACATGTATCTGATTGGATGGTCAGAGGGTGTGTTTGCCTAAAGACTACAGTATAATAACCCTGATGTTATGCCAATAAAACTGAAGTGTTTGCAATCGCAACTGAGGTGATTTGAGTGCATTCACTTTCCGAGATCTCGTAGCTGTGTCCAGGTGTGACCGTTGGTATCTTGAGGGGGCCCCCAAGGAAAAGGAAAAAGACCACCTACCTACTTTCAGAAGGTATATAGCTTTATAATTTAAAAAAAACAAACACACTGTACTTAATATTTTCCTAAAACAGAGGATAAAAAATATAATACAATGTGTACACTATTATTAGGCAAGTTGTAGTTTTGAGGATTAATTTCATTATCGAACAGTGCTCTTGGTCAATCCAAAATGTTAATAAATCCAAAACCTGAAAATTTAATAAAGTAAAAGTGAGGTTTTGGCTTTCTTAGAAGAATATCTATGTGTGCAAATTTATCGGGCAACTAGAAGTATACAGAATTATTATGCAATTAAATAAAAAAGGAAAAATGTTCTCCCATCTGTTAAAGTGAGAATAAACAACTCAAAATGTACAAATAAACATTTCTGACATTGCAAAAAAAAAAGGATCAGTGATCAATATAGTCATCCTGCTTTTCAATAACAGTCATAAGCCTTCTATTCATGGAGTCTGTCAGTTTCTTGACCTGTTAAATCAACTTTTTGTGCAACAGCAACCACAGCTTCCCAGACACTATTCAAAGAGGTGTACCCTTTTCCTTCACCATAAATTTCCCGTTTAAGAAGGGCCTACAAGTTCTCAATAGGTCAGGTGAGGATGAGGGCCATGTCATTCTTTCATCTTAAAGGCTTTTACTGGCTAGCCATACAGTGGAGTACTTTGATGCAAGCGATGGAGCATTGCCCTGCATAAATATCATGGTCTTATTGAAAGATGCAGACTTTTTCCTGTACCTCTACTTGAAGAAAGTGTCTTCTAAAAACTGGCAGTAGGTTTGGGAGTTGATTTTGAGTCCATTCTTCAACCCAAAAAGGTCCAACTAGCTCATCCTTAATAATACCAGCCCACACCAGTACCCCACCTCCACCTTGCTGGCGTCTTGAGTCGAAGTGGAGCTCTGTTGTGATCCAGCCATGGGCACATCCATCTGGTCCGTCAAGAGTCACTTTTCATCTCATCAGTCCATAAAGGCTTTGAAAAATCTGTCTTCAGATATTTCTTGGCCCAGTCTTGACGTTTCAACTTATGTGTCTTGTTCAGTGGTGCTCGGGTTTCAGCCTTCCTTACTTTGGCCATGTCTCTGAGCAGTGAACACCTTGTATGTCTGGGCAAAAAAGGGGTAGGGGAAAGAAAGGAAGGCAGGAGAAAAGTAGCTAGAAGCACTCCCATCGATCTGTTCCCGCCCGGCTCCCTCAGGTCTCCCCAACTATATTGACGACTGCAAGTATTTAATCCAGGGGTTCTATACCCTATCAAAGTTAGCTAGTTTGTCTGGCTTACCATTTTTCATGGAGCATAATCTATGGTATTTCATTTTTGGCGGCAACAGGGTTTATCGTGGGAGATTTCCAAGTCAGGGCTATAGTCATTTATGCGGGCAGGAGAAGATAAAAAATTAGGGTATCTAAATGTTTGGGTGTCTCATCCAAGAGGTCATTAAGCAATGCTATTTTAACATTTTTGGTGATGTTAACGCTAGTCAATGAGTAAATGAAGGTGAAAATTCTAATCCAGAACTGTAGAGCTCTAGGACAAGACCACCATACATGGTACATAGTGCCTTCACTACAGTAGTCCCTAAAATAGAGGCGAAGCACCCAAGTATTTTTTTTGCGATTCTAGAGGGCACCAAGTACCAAAAACGGGAGAGAACCTAATCACTAGCCTCAACTAGTATGGTGTTCATAATCCCCCTGCTGTGCCCCAAGTTTTACCATCGAGTGATTTTTTTTTTTTTATCTCCTCTCCCACGACTGCCTCCCACGCTCTTTGTTATGGGAGTTTACACGTGGGGGTGGACCCTGCTAAAGGAGCGAGCGAAGGACCTACTATCTGATAATGCTAAAGTTTTTAGCCATCTTGTGAGTGTTTAACCGCTTTTAATACACCATCCTTATACATACACTGCACTTAGCTGGCGCCTCCTGTTCTTCCTTACAGAGCTGGTCACACTCTGAGGACGGCTGCCGCCTGTGCCTCTTTGGATTTTTTATATTTTTCTATCTTGTGGAATTCTAGGACTTATAAGGACTTTGTAGGAGTAATTAGGACTTATAAGAACTCCCTTACATATTGTTTGCATTACAATTGGTCCTGGTTAAGCGCCTGATCATACTGTCCTCATTGCCTCGGGGGGCATGCCCAGCAGCTTTTGCCAGTGACCAATTACCGGAAGTGTTAGAAGCTTTCCATAACCTAATATCTAATATCTTCTTATTAACAGTACTAACATAAGTATGAATGAGTTGGATCTTAATAGAATAATTGAGTTAATATATTTATATTTGTTCTAGATTGGGAAAAGTAAGGAATTAGACTTCATAGTCTGTGAATATACATATGAACATATATCTTGGGTTTTTCCTTTACATTCAAGCCACATATGAGAGCAATTAGCTATACCTTCCCCCATCCTCCCTCATCTATGTAAGAGATTATATGTTTCACTAACTAGTGAATTGTTCGGTTTACAAGGTTTATACTGTAATATTTCTTGATTACGATATTTATATACGAGATAACTCTTAGTAAGATTACTTTTAGGAGTATATATATATATATATATATATATATATATATATATATATATATATATATGTATATATATATATATATGTATGTGTTATACATCTAATGTATTCTAATTGATGGAATGTCAGTGAAGTTTTGTCTAGGCCTTCTTAGGTTACGCTCAGACTTTAGGAGAAGTAGACTGGAGGTTTGTTATATATACACATCTGTTTCCAATTATCTTTGTGGGACTACAAGTATATCAGCCCATTTTTAGGAAAGGTGGGGGCTGGATTGCTCTTTCTAGAGCAGGACAAAGGTTTAAAGCATACATTCTTTGGGCAGCAAGGCGAAGGGAGCTGCTTGCTCATATCTACACACATTCATATTATACACACACAATTACATACAATTTTATTATTAAGAACTTAACTATACTTTTTGGACTTTATTTAAACATTCTGTATTCCAATATTTTATTTCTAATTTTATGCAACGTTATTATTAAATCATCTTTTTGAGTTTATACAAGAAGTGGAAGGACTTTCTATCTGAACATTTCTCATCAATACAAGTTAAGAAAATATCGAGACAATACGATATTTTACATGCAGGTAGTAGCCTAAAACCCTATGAATAACCAGCCTGTGTTCTATACTGTATGGTTAATAAACAAATTTCTGTTGAAAGAGAATAACCAATATTTATGCATTCCTAAAATCAATCTGAAAGTCTCCTTTTGGAGTAAAAAAACTACTTAAAGCCCTTATATATGTTAGAAATGATGTAGTTTGCATACATTTTTGAAAGGCACGTAAAAATAGGTTAAATTAATAAACATTAAGCAAGAACATAGAAGCAAATGCTTGTCCTATAGCGTATAGCCAATCCCGCTCGAAAAACGCATTACTAACAGAGCAAATTGTTGATATGTGTAAGCCATCACACAGAACATACACTGCTCAAAAAAATTAAAAGAACACTTTGAAAAACACATCAGATCTCAATGGGGAAAAATATCATGCTAGATATCTATACTGACATGGACTGGATAATGTATTTGGAACGTAAAGAAGACCCCCCAAAGATCAAAGTTAAAAAATTATGCAGCAGGCTACTCCCATTTTGCTGAAATTTAATTGCAGCAACTCAAAATGGTACTCAGTAGTTTGTATGGCCCCACGTACTTTATGCATGCCTGACAATGTCATGGCATGCGCCTAATGAGAAGACGGATAGTGTCCAAGGGTATTTCCTCCCAGATCTGGACCAGGGCATCACTGAGCTCCTGGACAGTCTGAGGTGCAACCTGGCGGCGTCGTATGGACCAAAACATGATATCCCAGAGGTGTTCTATTGGATTTAAGTCAAGCGAGTGTGGGGGCCATTCAATTATATCAATTCCTTCATCCTCCAGAAACTGCCTGCATACTCTCGCCACATGAGGCCAGGCATTGTAGTGCACCAGGAGGAACCCAGGACCTACTGCACTGGTGTGGGTCTGAACAATAGGTCCAAGGATTTCATCACGATATCTAATGGCAGTCAGGGTGCAATTGTCTAGCCTGTAGAGGAATATGCGTTCCTCCATGGATGTGCCTCCCCAGACCATCATTGACCCACCACCAAAACAGTCAAGCTGAACGATGTTACAGGCAGCATAATGTTCTACACAGCTTCTCCAGACCCTTTCATGTCTGTCACATGTGCTCAGGGTGAACCTGCTCTCATCTGTGAAAAGCACAGGGCGCCAGTGGCAGACCTGACAATTCTGGTGTTCAATGGCAAATTCCAATTGAGCACTATGGTGCCGGGCAGTGAGCATAGGGCCCACTAGAGGACGTCGGGCCCTCAGGCCACCTTCATAAAGTCTGTTTCTGATTGCTTGGTCAGAAACATTCGCACCAGTGGCCTGCTGGAGGTCATTTTGTAGGGCTCTGGCAGTGCTCATTTCGGTTCTCCTTGCACAAAGGAGCAGATACCGGTCCTGCAGATGGGTTAACCCTTTGAGGACCGTAATATTTTGGAACACCAAAAGAATACATTTTTTTGTTTTTAAAGTTCGTACACTTCAGTTGCTGTAACTAAGCCATTTCATGAAATAATTGGCAAAAAGCTAGACCTATTTGTTGTTTGTTGATAAGAACTAATATTTTGACTCAAACCAAAAAAAAAAAAAAAAAAAAAAAAAAGTTTTAAGTTCTTAATCAGATGATACACACAATTAAAAACATGGGACAAATACGTCCCTTGGTCCTCAAAGGGTTAAGGACCTTCTACGGACCTGTCCAGCTCTCTTAGAGTAACTGTCTCCTGTAATCTCCTCCATGCTCTTGAGACTGTGCTAGGAGACACTGCAAACCTTTTGGCAATGGCACGTATTGATGTGCCATCCTGGAGGAGATGGACTGCCTGTGCAGCCTCTGTAGGGTCCAGGTATCGCCTCATGCTACCAGTAGTGACACTGACCCAAGCCAAATGCAAAACTAGTGAAAAAGTCAGAAAAGATGAGTAGGGAATAAAATGTCAGTGGACTCCACATGTAAAACCATTCCTGTTTTGGGAGTCATCTCATTGTTGCCCACCTAGTGCACCTGTTAATTTCATTAACACCAAGCAGCTGAAACTGATTAACAAACCCCTCTGCTACTTAACTGATCAGATCAATATCCTAGGAGTTTAATTGACTTGATGCTATACTCTGATTAAAAAGTGTTCCTTTAATTTTTTTTCAGCAGTGTAGATTAGGTTTCATCATTTAGTGAAACTGTAACTTAAAACTTTATCCAAACAGAAAGCAGGGAATTTTATAGTCTTTAGACTGACCATTGATTAAATTTGACGTATACTGCTGAGATGGTTTATAAAGGGCCACTGAATTGGCTTTTCATCCATTCAAAGCAGATTTCCTATCTGCAGTCAACTCATTTTTTGGCTGAACTGGACATCAAGCATAAATAAAATATTACTTTCCATCAGTGCCAAACAAATGTTCAGCAGAATTCCTTCAGCTGTAGGTGTAGGGAGTGTAGAATGTTGGCATGATCAACCATATTCTCAGAAAATGGTTAAGGGGGCATACAACAGCTGATTGTTTTTATATAGCTGTCCAGCAGACAGAGTGGGCTTCATTTTACATAAAAACAATAAAACATGTTTTCACCCATACTTAATTCTGTGGCTGGAATCACACAAACAGATAACTAGAATTACATAGCAAGCTAGTAACCACGTACATTTTTCTAACCCCAAGGGCCCAAGACACATAAGTCTGAAAGCCACTGAACCTTGTGTGAAAGTGGGAAAAAAAAAAAACAAAAAAAACATTTCTCTGCCAAACAGCAACCAATACTTTTTACCTACTATAGTTCTGTACACCGTGTGCACAATTATTAGGCAAGTTGTATTTTTGTGGATTAAATTTCATTATTGAACAACTACAGTGTTCTCGGTCAATCCAAAATGTTAATAAACCTCAAACCTGAATATTTAAGAAAGTAAAAGTGAGGTTCTGGCTTTCTTAGGAGAATATCTATGTGTGCACAATTATCGGGCAACTATTAGTGTGCACACTTATGCAGCTAAATGAAAAATACAATTTTTCCCATCTCACTTGTTTATTTTCATCTGTTAAAGTGGGAATAATAAACAAACAATTCAAAATTTACAAATAAGCATTTTTAACATTTAAAAAAAAAATAAAAAATATTCAGTGACCAATACAGCCACCCTTCTTTTCAATAGCAGTCATAAGCCTTCCATTCATGGAGTCTGTCAGTTTCTTGATTTGTTGACAATCAACTTTTTCTGCAGCAGCAACCAGTTTCCCAGACACTGTTCAGAGAGGTGTACTGTTTTCCTTCACCGTAAATCTCCTGTTTAAGAAGGGCCCACAAGTTCTCAATAAGGTTTAGGTCAGGTGAGGAAGAGGGCCATGTCATTATTCTTTCATCTTTAAAGCCTTTACTGGCTAGCCACGCAGTGGAGTAATTCAATGCATGCGATGGAACATTGTCCTGCATAAATATCACCTTGCTGGCGTCTGAATCCAAGTGGAGCTCTGCGCCAATTACTAAACCAGCCACGGGCCCATCCATCTGGTCCATCAAGAGTCACTCATCTCATCAGTCCATAAAACCTTTGAAAAATTGGATTCAGATATTTCTTGGCCCAGTCTTGACATTTCCACTTATGTGTCTTGTTCAGTGATGGTCAGGTTTCAGCCTTCCTTACCTTGGCCATATCTGAGAACTGAACACCCTTAGGGCACTCCAGATAGGTTGAAGTTCTGGAATGCCAGCACTAGAGGATGATGGGTTCCTGGTAGCTTCACGTTTGATTCTTCTCAAATCTTTGGCAGTTAATTTGCGTCTTTTTTTCTCAACACGTTTCTTAATACACTGTTCACTATTTGCAATAACATGTTTGATGGCTCTGTGATCACACCCCAATATCTTAGCAATTTCACGAGTGCTGCATCTCTCTGAAAGACGTTTTACAATTTGACATTTCAGAGTCAGTTAAATCTATTTTTTGGCCCAGTTTGCCTGAAGAAAAGAAGTGGTCTAAAAATTATGCACACCTTGATATAGGGTTTTGATCGCCTTAGGCTACACCCTCCCGCCTTACACAAATACATAACACCTGATATGTTTAAATCGAATAAGCATTCAAGTTTATACAACTTGAAGTTGGACAATATGCATAACAATGATTATTTGGTCAAAATACTCACTTGCCCAATAATTGTGCACAATGTGTATATAAAAATCATGAAGAAAATAGTTAATTGCAATGAGCAACATACCTCAGGCTAAAAACTGCTAATCAGCAAGAATTTTATGGCTGACACTTACCCAATAACAGCAAACGCTGGAAGTTCCTGCAGGTCAAAGGGAAAGTCCAAGCGAAAGCGGGTTTTAAATAAAGCAGTGATGGTCTCTGAAAAAGAAGCATAGAGGCCAGTGAACTTTAAAGAAATCATAGAACTGGGAACATGGCCAACTAAGTATAAGATGTCTTATCAGCATTGCTGACCACACCACTTCTGTTCATGGCAATTAATAACATTACAGCCAAAGTCACCAACTGTCACTAAGCAACTCTATGAGGTGGTTTTTATTAGGGCAATGCTTGCTCAAAGGAGGAACTATAAGTACAGATGATCAGCCAGGGTACAGGGCACAATTCCAAAACTGTCTTATTTGAACTTCAGGCTCCTATCATAGTATTTCAAAACTAGGGCTATCATCTTTAGTGGCGTTATGCTTTAGGGCACTGGTGATGAGAATGTTTTTATTTCTTTAGTTATCATGTTTATCAGCTATCGGAAAATCAGATGTGTCAAATAACACACACAAATATACAAATTATAGGAATTGCTTTAATTATTATTCTCAAGTAAAACCTATACAGACTGTCTTCTCCACAACATTATGCATGCACACCTCCCAGGATATCAGGTGAGCAGTACAAATATCAGCTGAAAGAAATGCCACAGCAAGGCGACAGGAGATATTGCATGAAACTGAACATTTGCAATATGATCAGACAGGGTTTATATTACTGTTACAACTCTGGAAAACACCACTTCTGGGTATTTTTTTAATTTTTTTTTTTTTTTTAGGGTTATTGTCATAATAAATCATTTTCCATTCTGCCTATGATAATAAACCATGTTTTCCATCTAAAATCAAATACCCATTAAAAGGAGTTTCCAACACTAAAAGGAACATAACGTTTTATACATGCTTTCTTAATAAAAATTACCATGAACTAGTCAACGATTTAAACACATACAGTGGGGCAAAAAAGTATTTAGTCAGCCACCAATTGTGCAAGTTTTCCCACTTAAAAAGATGAGAGAGGGCCTGTAATTGGCATCATAGGTAGACCTCAAACTATGAGAGACAAAATGAGAAAAAAAGTCCAGACAATCACATTGGCTGATTCGGAAAGAAATTATTTGCAAATTATGTTGGAAAATAAGTATTTGGTCAATATCAAAAGTTCATCTCTATACTTTGTTATATATCCTTTGTTGGCAATGACAGAGGTCAAATGTTTCCTGTAAGTCTTCACAAGGTTGGCACACACTGTTGCTGGTATGTTGGCCCATTCCTCCATGCAGATCTCCTCTAGAGCAGTGATGTTTTGGGGCTGTCGCTGGGCAACACGGACTTTCAACTCCCTCCAAAGGTTTTCTATGGGGTTGAAATCTGGAGACTGGCTAGGCCACTCCAGGACCTTGAAATGCCTCTTACGAAGCCACTCCTTCATTGCCCGGGCGGTATGTTTGGGATCATTGTCATGTTGGAAGACCCAGCCATGTTTCATCTTCAATTCCCTTGCTGATGCAAGGAGGTTTGCATCTAACGATACATGGCCCCATTCATTCTGTCCTGTACATGGATCAGTCGTCCTGGTTCCTTTGCAGAGAAACAGCCCCAAAGCATGATGTTGCCACCCCCATGCTTCACAGTAGGTATGGTGTTCTTTGGATGCAACTCAGCATTCTCTCTCCTCCGAACACGATGAGTTGTGTTTCTACCAAACAGTTCTATTTTGGTTTCATCTGACCATATGACATTCTCCCAGTCCTCTTCTGGATCATCCAAATGCTCTCTAGCAAACTTCAGACGGGCCCGGACATGTACTGGCTTAAGCAGGGGGACACGTCTGGCACTGCAGGATCTGAGTCCCTGATGGTAGCCTTTGTGACGTTGGTCCCAACTCTCTGCAGGTCATTCACTAGGTCCCCCCGTGTGGTCCTGGGATTTTTGCTCACCTTTCTTGTGATCATTTTGACCCCACGGGGTGAGATCTTGCGTGGAGCCCCAGATCGAGGGAGATCATCAGTGGTCTTGTATGTCTTTCATTTTCTAATTATTGCTCCCACAGTTGATTTGTTCACACCAAGCTGCTTGCCTATTGCAGATTCAGTCTTCCCAGCTTGGTGCAGGTCTACAATTTTGTTTCTGGTGTCCTTCGACAGCTCTTTGGACTTCACCATAGTGGAGTTTGGCCCACTGTATATCTCAACATGAAAAAGAAAAAAAAAAAAAAAACACTAACTATAAAATCTGTTTCTTGGAGTTTATTTAGGAATACAGGACCAAAAGTAAATCAGAGACAACTGGATTATTTACACTTCCTACAGGAGGATCTGGACATTGGCAAAGAAAAAAAAAAAAAAAAGCTGTTGGTAAACTGGGTAGAAATGCCTCCCACTCCTATCCTTCATCAATAATATTAGGAGTGGATCACAAACACAGAATTTACAGTAAGAACAAACATTCTGCTTTCTTTACTGTTCATCTAAGGACACGACACTGCATCAGAAGCACTCAACGTTTGCATCAGCTGAGGCCTGAACCAGGTGGCGACTTGGCAAATTTGAGAAAAATACCTGATGCTGACAGGGCCAGAAATCAGTAAGGGCTCGTTCACACATGCATTGACTGGCATTTTTCCCCACACTGGATAATCGTCAGTCACTGCTAAGAGACATAGAAAATAACTGGTGTATGTGCTCTGTTCACACAGCAACACAGCCCAGAGGTGCAGTGCACGAGCGGCGGTAAAATGTAGGCATACTGCTGTTTACTACAGCCCACAGGTAGGCAATGCATATCATCACATAACTAGGCGGTGTCAGTTTCTGCAGTTCTTAGTATCACTTTAGACTTCTAGGCTTGCATAATGAACAGGGTAATGGCAGTATGAGAAGCAGGTTGTCCCTTACAGAGATCCTCAGGATTAAAAAAAAAAAAAAAAAAAGTCAGTCTCCTTGAAGAAAGATGCAGCTGTATGCAAGATAAACATGAACAGCTCTCACCACATCCAAGAAATGAAAAAAATCTCCCTAGGCTGCACAGGGGTCAGGCAGAAAGACAGAAATAAAATGCCTTGGTTAAGGTATAAAACACCACCTTTGGGACCTCAAGACAACCTTGTTTTTTTCCTTTTACAAAACAAGGCTGTCAATTCAGAAACATGCCCAGCTGAGGAGATGACAGCTGAGAAGGTATCTTTAATAAAAGAGGGAAGTCAAAGGATGGTCCTCATAACATCCTACAAAGTCACTGGAGGTTGTACTGGTGGGACCATATGAGCAAACAAAGGCATTTACCAAGAAATGAGGACTGGACTGCAGAAAGGTCAGGATCCTTCCTATGGAGGATTTCCTGGAATGAAATGGTCTTGCCTAATACCACACAAAGAATGATTTCCAAGTACGAAAGTAGTAGACCTTGAATGACAATGTCTTCCTAGTTTTTAACAAAGTAGGAAATACTGAATCAGAAGGGCCTCATTCTCTTAGCACCTGAACTTCAACAGCCATGCCATCAAAGCCAGCAACCATGAAGCAGGTTAACATATCTTGGGGACAAAAGATCTGTATAATCTGAAAAAGTCTATGGGGTGCCTGTTAAGAATCTGATGAGGTTGGAATACTATATCAACCTGGGCCAATTCAGTGTCAAAGAATCTCTAGGATGCCCTCCATCGCCATTCTGCAGGGTAGATAAGGAAGGAGTTTCAGAGGAGGAAAGGCATAGATTAGGTGTATTGATTACACAGAGTCTCCAGAGCATCTATTGCTACAGCCAGAAGTTCCCTGCATCTAGATTAAAACCTGCTTGGGAGGTCCACATCCTGTGTCCCCCAAATAAAACAAAAGTTCTAAAACACCTCTGGGTGAAGAGTCCATTTCCCCGTTACCCTGACTCCAGGCACTGATGGTGGTTGAAGAATTCAGCCTGCCAACTCAGGTTCAACCCAAAACAAAATATTTTTCATTTCGCTTTCTGCATCAAGATGCATGGTTCCTCTCTAATGCTTGAGATATACAAATGGTGCAGGATTATACAACTGAATCCTGCGTGGATAGCTTTGCAGATGAGAGGTCCAGTATTGAAGGGACAACCAGATCACTTGGAGCTCCAAAATGTTGATGGGTAGATAAGTTTCTTCCAAGAATTAAAGATGGCTACATGATATAATTTTCTTCTTCATGATCAATTTCCTTTAGATTTACCTTCAACTATATAGTGCAAGGGCCTGCCTGACTGCATACAATTTGAAAGTGTTAAGGTTTGACTTCATGTTATATGGTTTTGGTAAACAATTGTATAATGTGTAGCCAGCTTAAGACCCTTGTATATTTAAGGTGTCAAGGACTCTTTCCTAGGCTGCCAGGCTGGTATTCATCATAAGAATCTTTTTAGGACAATATTAGAAAAGATGTTCATGACTCCGGAGCTGGATTTCTGAGTTACCAGGGCAGGGGTAATTAGGTCTTGGCTGTCGAGCATATTGGATGGTCCACAGATTGCACCTTCTTGTTCCAAACAACCAGAATGTTGAGTTGAAACGGTCTAGAATGGAACTGTCAAACAAGACCGTACAAATGAGGTTACTATCACCCCAAAACTCTACTGCAAAAGCAGAAGGTTGGACAGCTCCTGGCCTAGAAAACCTGGATCTGGGAGCAAAGGATCTGGAGTTTGTCTTGTGGAAGAAAAACTCTCAAATGAGCAGTGTCTAGAATGAGACCCAGATACTTTAAGGCATGAGCATGATGGGAGTGCATGGGGCTATATCTGGCTGACCAATAGTTTTTTTGCTTTCCAGTGTCCAGTTCCTCTTGGAGACAGCAGTATAACCCACTTGTCTCCAATTTATTTCTAATCTTATGTCCCTTAATGAACTATAAAGAAAATATCTTTAGAAGGGCACTAAATATTTATTAAAAACGTAATGGGTGGGTGGCTAGTGGGAATCTGAGTGAGGTGGGAGAAGCTGGGTCAACCCCAGAATGATTAGGACACTCTAGAGAGTGTAGAATTTAGCATATTAGTGTGTCCCAGGTTTTGGTCCTTACAAAAAGCTCCAGAAGATATAGGAAGGTAGGTGTAGGCACCTTAAGGTGACTGCAGTCTATTTAAAACAACAGTTTATTATGCTTTGAGAACTGACCGGTATAACTGTTTCCGCTAGTCAGCAAGTAAGCAGCGTGCTATAAAAAAATGTCAAATATGGTGTCTGTGTGTTAGTGATTAATTGATTATACCAGGGCTGTCAAACTCAATTTCATTGCGGGCTGCATCCACTCTATGTTTGCACTCACAAGGGCCAGATCTATCTGTAAGACTAGATGTCCAGAGCACCCCACCCATTCTTGCAATAGATGTCAAAAGCCCCCCACCCATCCCAAACCACCACCATCACTAACTTGTGCTGCTGCCAGGAATAAGCTGGGGGCAAAATTAGGGAGCAGAAAGTGAGGGGTCTGGAGGAGGACAAAATGAGAGCTGGAATCAAGTGCTGGAGTCTGCTGAATGCTGGGACCAAGGTGAGGCAGAGATAAGGGGGTGCAGCGGATGCACAGGATCTGTAGGTGGTGTTCTGTCCCCCTGCCAAGTGGGCACAGAGACAAGGGGGAGTGCAGCAGCTGCAGTAGAGGTGCAAGGGCCACATGAAATGGCCTGGCAGGCCATGTCTTTGACACATGTGGATTATACCAAGTCACAGCCCACACTCTTTTTTTCTCCTTCTCTTCCTTGTCTCTGCATTGTCATTTATGGCCATGGACTTTCCACTTTCATCAACTCCTTGAAGTTTGCATGGTTTCTGTTATACTCCTGGTAACACTAATGCAACCTATTACAGATGACGTATACCAGCTTCCTAAGTCTTCTTCAATTCATGCCTTTGTGTGATTAACTAAATATTGTGATGGTCCTTCAAACTGGTATTTTCTCCAGCCTCCGGCATCTGAACTATAAAATTTATATTGCTCCTGTTCAGAGTTGCCATTCGAGGATCCACAGTTGAACTGATGCATACTTAAAGTATTACCATGTAAACCTGTAATTTGTTAATACTGCTACTGTCTTTTTTTACTGGTTGTATATTTCTAAAATTAAACAAAGAACTTACAAATAAAATGGTGTTTGTGCTTACCCTCATCCTTGTTCCATACAGCTAAGACTCGGAATATGAAAGCACTGAAGGTAGCAGCAAAGAAACCACGCCAGTAATTTCTCACAGCAAAAAATGTTGAAGTGACCTCAATGCTGAACAGGACTCCTATATTTGCAAACAGCAGAAAAAAAAAAAAATCAGCCTTTCAAAAAAACTTAGTACACATACACACTAAGCAGAAAATTTTAATCAAGTGAAAAAATACAAATCTATTAAAAACTCTGCACTCGTATAGTCATTTAACACTGACCATTTGGATACTACGAATATAAAAGTGGTTGTAAAGACAGAACATTTTTTACCTTAATGCATCCCCTGTATTAATCCATTCACTGCCAGAGCAGTTTCTGCATTTTTTTGCACACGTTTGAAAAATCATTTTAGGCCTGAAGATTACAGAAAATCCCAAAACATTATATATTTTCTGAAAGCAGACACCCTAGATAGTGGTTCCAATTTTTTGTGTCATACAATATTACTGCAAAGGTCTAGGAAATGAAAAATATCAGTAAAAAAACACACTACAGTGAATGTTAGGGCAAACAAACGGAATACATTACCCACATTTTTGGTAGAATATAAAAGACGAGGTTGTGCTGAGTAAGTAGATACCCAACATGCCAAACCTTAAATATGTGTGTGCCTATGAAATGGCAACAAACTTCAGTATCCTATATTTTCCATAGGCAATGCTTTAAAAGTCCCTATAGATCATCATTTTAGTGTTATGGAGGAGGTCTTGTGCTAGACGTATTGCTCTCATTCCGGTGTGTGTGGCGATATGTAACGTGTATCACAATCAACGTTTTCACACGTAACCTCCCTGGCGTGTGCGTTTAGGTCTGTATGGGCGTATTTGGGGGGGGGGGGGGGGGGGGGGGGGGGGGTTTATGTGTTTGGGTAAAAACTATTTTTTTTTGCAATAAAAACTTTTTTTTTTTTTTTTAAATCACATAAGGGATACAAAATCCCCTATGTGATGCTGTTTAGGTGGTAGGTTTTTTTTTTTCTCTAAAAGACCCTGCATGTCTCTTCTGGCCTCCACGCAATATATTGCAATGCAGACCGCATAACAATACATTGCTTCTCGGCTGACCCGGGAGACAGCGGAGACCCGGACATGACAACACACACACACGTCGTCTTCCTGGTCAGAGAAAGAAGGGGAGAAGAGCAGACGTTCATCCGCTCGCTTCTATCCCCTACATCTGCCGGCAGCCACTATGGTGCTCCTCGGGTACGCAGATGGTATCAGGGGCTGTGGAAGCAATCGAGCAACAGCAAAGCCACACAACTACTTCCATCTAACAGGCACGAGTCTACTTGTCAGTTTTATCCCAGTGGCTGGATTGTGTATAAACCCAACACCCCCACCCCCCCGGCTGACAGCTCCTCTTCTTGGGTCCCCTACTGGCGTTCCTGGGTCGCATTCTATGGGGGCACTCATGCGGGCTCGCTCCCAAGCTTCACGGTCTGTGTCTACTGACACTGATAGCAGAGCTCAGCTCTCTTGTCACTGGCTTTGACTGACAGCAGCAGGAGTCAATGGCTCCTGCTGCCTCAGCAAGGCTAGTGAGACCGGGAAGTGAGGTGAGAGAAGAGCTGCAGATGTTCACAGCACTGAATCAAACGAAGGCTCCAGTAAGTAAAAGGAGGGATGAGGGGGGAATACTGATCCCTAAACATTTTTTTTTCCTTAATGCAAGGAATGCATTAAGCGAAAATGTTTCGGATTAATAACCACTTTAATGCATTCCTTGGTAAAAAAAAATAAAAAATAAATATGTCCCATTGGTTATATTGCGCCTTTCCCTTCCTAATACTTATTGGAGTCCTAACTTAATCCAGTGCTGTACCTGAGGACAGCAGCGCTGCTCCCACTTCCTCTCACAGGACTCAGAGCAGAGGGAGCCATGGGCTGGTGGAACACGATACATTACACATATTGACACATTTATCAGCACAGAGTGGAGGTGGAGTGAAGGGACACTTGCTTTGATACTCGGGAAGCATGGAATTTTGTGGATTTGCAGCACTGTTTTTAATAACATCACAGTCTCTGATACTTAGAGCACTTTATCTTTAAAGTTACTTAACATTGTTCACTGCTTTCCTGTGCTAAATTATTTATGCACTTGCTAATTCCAGAGGGATTGAGCAGGAGTTTGTATATGTAATTTACACTTTGATTTTTTTTTCACATGACACACAGGAGACACTACGTTGTATATCTTACTAACACTATTTATCATTAGTGTTAGTAAGTAGCTCACTGGTTATCATTTTTTTTTTTATTTTTCTGGTCGTTTGTGTACCAGGCGAAGCACAAAGTAGCTGGAGGGGTCACAATGTAGCTTAACCTCCCTAGAGGTCTCATTATGGCAGTATTTCTGTGCTCAAAGCGGTACATTTTTTTGCATGGAAATATGTTGGTGTTTTTTTTAGGCCTGTAATGCTTAGATATACCTCACTGAAATCTGTCCAAACAATTGTCTAGTAAACATCCCGGGTATGATAAAATTTGAAACCCGAAATCATAAATTATAATATAATAAATCATAAAAAAATAATATAATATTAATAAATTTAATTCAATAATGTAATCAAACCAAAAACACTGAAATTTGAAATAGAGCGCCAAGTTCGCACATCACTGAGCTTAGTCGTAAAATCGTTTTCAGTGTCTGATGACAAATTTCCCCACGAATCATTATCACTCTATTCTGCAAGTGGTTCTGATTTACTATCGCTGTTCTCTAGCTAGTCTAAAACTGCTTTTGACCTAAAGGGACGCTTTTTGGACGCCATGGACATTTCTCAAAATATATGTGAAATGGTTTGATACAGTAATGTATTACTATCAGATTTTAGTGTATTGATTTAATTTCACTTTTAAAATTATTGAATTTCCCGCCGGTTCCGTCCCCCGTACGTCCTGTACGTACCAACGATCGCAAGGAACGGAACCCGGAAAACGGATGCCGGCCTCAGCCGGAGGAGATGGCCCAGGGACACTGCAGGGGGGACATTGTGGGAGCGAAGGACCAGGTAGTGCTGGAGGGGATCCCGAGTGTAGCTTGGGGTTACGGCTTCTGGTACTGAAAGTGAACCATGAGCTACACTCGGGAATACCACCAGGGAGATTAAGTTATAGCACTGGTACAGTATTTCACAGTATTCATTTATCCCCTTTGTGACTAAGGTAAAAAAAAAAATGCCTGTACACAGTTTTGCAACTTTGATGTGTTGGTCAAAAACTGTACATATAACTACATAGTGTATCCAAGTGAATTATGCCTTGTTTAGGACAAATTGGGCTTTCAGTGGGTTAAATACTCATGATTTGTTTTATTACCAAAGGAAAACTAACATAAAATAGTAAAAATAAAGTATCACCAATATGTAAAAATATTCTTTTCAAATTTAGCTGTATTTTTCTTACTTACCATAACCTACTACCTAAACATCAAAAATAAAAAATTCTCCTACTCATGATGATCACAGCAATACCACTCTTGTAGATATTATTTGTTGTTTGTACCCTTAGTAGGCCCAGAAACAATAATTAACATTTTATTTTGTTATCCTACCTAAAATACAAAAAAAAATTTTTTTTTCCTTTAACCACTTTAAAGCTGAAATTCACTCTCTCAATCAATGACTATTTTTATTCCATATGCTGCTAGCACTTGTAAATAGATAGCAAGGTATATCATATTTACTTGTAAACTTCCCCCCCCCCCCCCCCCCATTTCTTCAGTTACTTCCTGATATCCAGGCCTAGGCAAATTACATCATACATCCCAAGAGCCTTAAGAAGGGGAGAAGGGGTTTATTCAGATAAGCACACCCTACCGATTGCATGCCTGAGCTAAGGGCAGATAGATTTGAAGAAGTAAATGCTACAGGACTCATCTGTCCTTACTAAACCGCTTCCTGTCTAGCCTATAGCACAATGACGGCCAAGTGGGAGCACTTCCATCCTGGGTGGACGTCATATAAAGTCCTCCAAGGAACGGGTCACTCTGCGAGATGATGTGTCTTCCACTGTGCCCACTGCACACAGCAGACGATAAAATCAGTATACTTGGCCACAGCCAGCACAATGTGATCATTGTGACCAATCATGGCAGAACACATGAAAGTTGTACGCAATTAATGTCTTTCATCCATTGTCATTCATTGTGTACTATTGTGTTGATCTTTGATTGGTCACAGTGATCACAAGGTACATACAGGGCCGATCACAGTGCATGACTGGATCACACTGGGTAAATGGATGCCATTCATTAAAAAAAAAAAAAAAAAAAAAAAAAAAAAAAGATTGCTTTTATCATTGTTATAAACAATTACAGTGTGTGTAAAAAAAAAAAAAAAAAAGAATTCTGATTACCTCCCCAGAGTAGTACGTCACTAGGGTAACACTCTACTGCTCTTGTCCCAGTATGTAGGAAAAAAAAAAATTGTAAGAAGAATTAAATGTTAAAAATTAAAAAGAACATGACTACTAGTTATCCCCAAGGTATTTAGTAAGAGGCATTTCACGTTTTTGAAAGTTTTTTTTTTTGTCACAGTTTTTTGGAAAATTACAAAAATAAAATGTGGGGTTTTTTTTTTTTTTTTTTTTTCACATAGTGTCACCAGTCAGTATCCCTGATCACCACCACACCAGTGACAGGATGACGCTGTACTGCAGATTAAAGAGCAGGTGATTGTTTGCTAGGAGAGCTCTGTCTCCTAGTAAGCAATCACCTGCTCTTTAATCTGCAAAGTTATCTCAAGCAGCTCTCTCACCCATGCTCCATGTAGTGTTACTGTGCCTCTCGCTCTCTATCTGTCCTGCCTCCTGCTCTGCTGTGATGATAGCAGTGGAGGCTTGGGAACAGAACTAGCTCCTAAGTGGTCCAGTGGTCTGCCAACTAGTGATGCCTGCTATATACCAGTTTGTGGACTAACTTTCTTACAGGCTAAATATTATACACTGATTTAGGTTATCTTTAGCAAAGAAATGTAGCAGAATACATATTGGCCTAAATTTATGAAGAAAGATTATTTGCAAAATCTTATAACAGAATTGAAGAAAAATGCCTTTTTTTTTTTTTTTT